TCGACAGCGACAGCGACGACGACGGCGGCAACAGCAACAGCAGCGGCATGCGGCAAGCGGCAGCAACACGAAATTGATACTTGGTATGAATACAAAATTAGTTTCACCTTTGCAAAGACAAAAGAGCTCAGGCGAATGAATGCCAATTGGTATGTGGCATGCAGCATGCGGCATACAGCATGTGGCATGAGGCAAGTGGCAATCAGTAAACACGAAGTTGTAGACTACACGTTGCATATCGCATAACGCAGACATGCCAACACAATTACAGCACACACACACACACATACACATGTACATGCATACATATGAAAGTATTATGGTACTTTGCCATTTTGTGCAACTACAACAACACCAACAAGCAAAATTACATTAACAATAAGACAACCTGCAAGCAAACCGTGAACCTCCATAGGCACTCAGCGCCGCCAGTAAAGGCAAATGAGTCTTCCTCTCCACGCTGACACACCACCACAACTCCATAGGCACTCAGCGCCGCCAGTAAAGGCAAATGAGTCTTCCTCTCCACGCTGACACACCACCACAACCCAGACTTTATTGGCAACTCATGGAATATTTAACCAATTCCGTTGCTCCCACAACAACATTTGTTGTTTCATGGCTTGCTTAGCTTTGCCTTAGTTTCGAAAATCTTCACAAGTTCCATTGTTTCAGCTCTACGACCTCCGTCCCACTAACAAGTTCACATGCTTCTGTTCGGAAGAGTGTCAATCTTGTTAAAAGTACTCTGTCTTCTGCGGTAAAGTTTGCGGTGCTGATGACTTGGCTTTTGGGCATTCGGCTGACAATTTCCTCTAAGTGCAGACGAGTGTTTCTCCGAATGGAGTTGGACTTTCATTTTCTATGCATTTCTATCTCTGTCACATGACCATAAATGTAAATGTTCTCACTAAAATAGATGCGAAGCCAATCATTTTGTGGACTTTGTATGTAAGTGTATATACAATATATGGAGTGAAATGCAGTAGACTGTTTCATAGTTCTCAACACACTGCAAATCCTTTGTGGTCTATTTTCGGTTAAGTTATGATCATTTGATTGAATCTCTTAAAAAGCGAGGAAAATGCCACTTCCATATTTCTCAATTGCTATCATTGTTGTTTTGAAATGCTCCAATATACACTTGAACCGTGGGCTCTCGGTCTTTTTGTGGGGTAGGTTGGATATTTGTAAATATATTTGTGAATTCTTAGAATTCCTCTGCTGTTACGAAAACAAATTTCGAGTCAAGGAGAGATAATATTTACGAATATTTTTCGATTTGAATCCTATGGAGTTATACTTGTACTTTACCCTTGAAATGGATAACTGGGCAGAAATTTTCGAACCATTTTCAAGAAGTAATGCTTCTAACACATTATTTATGGATAAACCTTCAAGGTTTTTGAAGACAATTAGTAAAATTTTGCAAATAATACTCTCGAATATTTTAACTCCATGCCACCTCTTATAAATATTTAAAATGTTCAAAAAAGACCACCACAAAGCAGAAATTTGCTTATGAAAATTCATCAATTATTGAGAAATTGCTACAAACTATAAATACTTTCGAAAACTCGAGAGGACAATAACAAAACAGAGAAGCAGTCATCCAGTTCAAATAGTTATGGATGCAAGGAAGGCTTTAACATACATTTTCGGCCTCAGGGAATATTCCAAGTCATTGTGATGGGAAGCCAGATTATAATGAAGGGAAAACATTTTATACTCTTCAAAATATGAGTTGAAAAAACACTCGTATCAATCAATCTATTAGCCAAAACTAAGCAAACATTTTTCTAGACGATTTAAAAATTATGTAAGTCTACCGATTACATATCACAGCCGGCTTTAAAGCCGTATGTTACAGACAGACAGACAGATATACATAGCTAAATCGGCTCAGTTCATCATGCTGAGTATTGATACTTACCTATATATGTATATACTGTATATGGTCGTTTTCTTCTGAGTATTACAAACTTCGTGCCAAATATGTAATATACATATATACATATATCAATAATGCAAAAATCCTATGAAATCGAAATCCTGCTATGAAAAGAGTTACCAATCTTTCATTGAATTTCAAAGACTTTCGCTGGTGTTCTAAAATACAATTTGGATAAAGCTCACTACCATCAGCATCACAAAACCACTAACCATAAAACAATTTCGCTGGAAGCTTCAGTCGATTTGTTGCCAACAGCATATACATATATACATACTTATATACAATACATCTGTTTATATGTATGTAAGTATTTACTACAACATTGCCTAACCTCCGCTCCCCTTCGCCCACCCGGAAGCATTGTGTGCAATCGTCTGCTGTAACTTCATCGTCGTCGGTTAATGTCTTTCCAATTTCATATCAAACCAAGTGCCAGCATTAATTATGTATGCATTCGAGAAGCCAATTGCTATGACCGTTATATTTAGTGTTGGTGCGCACGAAATGGGTTGTAAAAATTTTACTAGGCCAACAAAGACGCAATTGATTTATATTTATTGCTGCAATTTTTGGTAAATCTGTGGAAAAGTTGGTTTCCGTGATTTCGTGCGTGTTCGTCGGGCATTCTGGCATTCAGGTATTTGCCAATTTGATTAGGTATCATTTTTAGTGTGAAAATTGAAAATGTCAACGTTGATTTTTCTGTTATAAATTGTATTTTACGTGAGGTATATTTAGATTGCGGCAATATAAGTAATTGGTTGCTGAATATGTGAGTATAATACGCAATTTGGTGGACTATTTTTGAAACTTATAGGTATCTGCTGAAACAAATAAATGTATGCAAATATTTTCGATTGTTAAATTTAGAAGAAATTTTTTCATAAAAGAAATTTTATATTTTAACTTTTGATTTATCAATAAATATAAGTTTAGGTAGAAACTAAGTTAGATTCATTACATATGTATATATATTTCGCCGAATTGATTAGGAACGTCATCTGACTTTATGTGCAGCCGAGTGAGCTCTATGTTTGATAGAGAAGTGGAACCGATAACCAAGAGCCCTCATTTCGGCGTTCTAACCCTTTTTGGATTGGTAAGTAGCAAATTAAATCGTTAAACGCTATATACATAAACATATTTTTAATACACATAAGTATAACAAGTTAAGATATTGATTAAAATATTGACTGAGGTAATCTAGTGCTATTAAGGAAACTTAAACTTCAATTTTACAAGCTCTCAACATTGGTTTAAGGTCTGTTATAATAAGAATTGCGTTGAGGTATCGAAAGTTACATTTAACGTACATAGTTTCTTATGAACAAAAAGAGTAAACTGGTTCAAAATAGATCTGCCCAAGTAAAGACAGCATTGGAGTTCTAGGGATTATAAAAGTGATTGCATATGAAGAAGTCAATTTCTAGGATGCTTTATCAGCAGATGTCATTAATTTTCTAGTACAAATCTGAAAAAGAATTTGGATGTCATCTTCATTTATTATTTAGGTATTTTTTCGAGTGGCATATATTTACTATACTTATGCGCTATCTAGATCAGATAGATAGATAGATCTAAGCTCCGTTTGGCAAAATGTGCACAGTAAGCAATTTGACTTGCTCTGGCGCTGCCTTTAGCTTTAGCAAGAAACTGCATTGCGACTTTATATGCGCTGCCTTTTCTAACACGGACTCATAAAAGATCAGCACTCTGAAGAATCCGGAACCCTGCTGGGCGCTGTTGAGGCGATTTGATTCCTATTCGGATATATATCCAAGGCCTTAATGTGTTAAAGATTTTTATGCAGTCTAGAATCAGGTCTCTGGAGTTTCCGGATCCATGTTGTCAAATCGGCAATTTGAACAAGGGGCTATACCCATGTTAAAACGGGGCTTGTTGAGTCCGCAATGCCCTGTATCAAATGTCACTAGTAGCTGGAATTTGTATCTAGGAAGTTTTATGATACTTTAGAATCTTGTGCACATAATTCTAGCTGTAACAAGCACTGCTTTATTGCTGGTTCAGTAGAAATATAGCTTTGAGTTGAAATAATTTTTGTCATTATGGGTACTATGTTGTTGTAATTTTTATATTGCGTGGCTCTGGAGTTAAAGTTTTTAGTCACCCCTGATCATAAACTTTCTCTTTACTAATTTCTGTTTGATTAGTTGCTACTTATCGTTTTCTCTAATCGCATACTCTGCGGACAAGAAGTCTTACTTTACCAGAGTTCCAGAATGAAAATTATATTAAATACTAAAATAAGAAGAAGAAGCAAACCACACAAATTTTAGCAATATGAGTATCTTTTCAAATACATCCACAAACTATTTCTGAGTTTTACAATGAGCTATAACTAACTATATAATTCAGGTGGCGTGTGGGGACATGTGACTGCTGAGCACAGCGGCCATTTTGAAAAAGTTTCCGCCACACTTACAGAATTCAATTCCACATTTTTAATGCAACTATAAAGTAATTGTTGTTGCAGAATTATTATTGCTTGACGAAACAGCGTACAAAGAGTAGAGAAGAAATCAAGAAAGAGCAAAATTCGTTTTGAATGGTTAGTGGAAATAAAACAAAAAGGCAAACGAGAGAAACAAGCGTGCTCGTGGACATTACATTGGATGTATGTGCATCGGAGATTGAGACTTGCGGTGAGTGTCAACATCGGAATTCCCCTTCGTTACAATGAATTGTCGTTGCTGCAATTGTCGTCTTTGTTGCAGTGGACAAAAACAACTAACAGAAACAACAAATGCAATGCAAACTAAAATTGGTGTACATATTCACGTAAATTATACATACATATACGTGTGCGGGTGTGTAAGGTGGTATACCGAAGTTTGTAGCAAATAAACGCCTGGTCCGCGAACGAAAAAACAAACTAAACAAATGAATAAAGCTGGGAAATATCACAGGAAAAATTGTGGCAGCTTGAAATCTGCAATATCCCGTGTTACTTACATTAATGAGCAGGCAAATGAAATTTTTATTACCGTTACATAACTGCAGCGGCAAAGTGTTGTTCAAATTAATCATTCAGTCACTGAGGCAGCCTTTAAAAACATTTCAATATCATTTGTTTAGCAATTTTTTCTAATTTACTTTTTTGATTTTTGTTCCTGAATTTTAATTGGTACGAAAAATTCAAGAACTTGTATATACTTACATACATATGCGGAAATCATTAGTAAAAGATTCATTTATTATTTTTTGAGCGCTTATTTAGAAGCGCTTGCAGTTGAGCTGATAAACTGTAAGAAAAAATTGAAAATATGAAAAATGATGTGGGCATTTGACATGCAAATTCCCTTAGAAGGAACTGGAGTTAATTTAAAATTTCAATGGTGTTGCATAGAATATAACATGAAGAATAAAAATTAACGCTTCGAATGTTTCTTTAAACGAAAAACATACCAACGCTTCCAACATTCAGGTAAATTGATATTTTTAAATAAAAAAAAGTATCTATATTTTATTAAAAAGTTTTTTTATGAAAAGTAAAAAAATTAAGAAGGTTGCTTCATAACATATAATGGCTAGAGGAAGGAATTCTTTCATTATTGGGACAAAACTTTGTATGTACATATGTATATTGTACAATGAAATATAAAAGCGCTTGGATGTTGTATAAAAGGACTCTTCTCCTTCCATAGCAGCCTTCATTTTCATTTCAAATTTGGTTTAACGAGTTTCAACGTGGTCTCTTGGCGGTTTTGGATATTTCACACTCAGATGCCATGAAAACAAAAGTCCACAATCTTATATTGGCAGAGCGCCGATTGTAAGTGCGCTAGATAGCTGAAATATATAGTAGGTATCTCAAAGGACTGTGTGGGGTCATATCTTGCATGAAATATTAGAGATGAGAAAGCTGTGGGTGCTTGGGTGCCGCATTACATCACTCCAGCCAACAAGTGTATACGTGAGACAACTGCATAGAACTGTTTGACCACTTGTGAATTTCAAACAAATTATTTATTTTTTTGCATATATGTATATTGAATGTACAAATATTTGAGAATATTTCGAAATAAATTCACTATAACGATTGGTTATATAGTATTTAATTATATATCTTATAAGATCTGTTATTTCCACATGACGTTCGTTTTGCAATAGTTTAAACTTGTTTCTAAACAAATTAGCTTCCTAAAACAAGTGTAAATGTTTTTTAAGTTTTTTTTTTACACATTACAATTGGATGCTCTTATCTAATATTGTATCTCATTCTTAATGTATTTGAGAAAAAATTAATGTGGTTCATATTTGGACTCTCATGAATATTGAAAAAAAACTGATTTCGCCTTTTGTTTTAGCTCTTAAACATGTTAATGAATTGATTTTAAAAATTATCGCGATTTAATTAGCATTTAAAATACAAATTAACACACTCATCGCCAACAACAAACGCGCATAAAAAAACACTTGTGTTGCTGTTTATTAAAAACAATAAACTTTAAATGACAACGACAAGCATAATATTAAAAAGCTTTTAAAGATCACTAATACGCGGAATATGTAGTCATAATATCGCTTTCGGCTTTTATTAACGGCGACAGGTACGAATATATATAATGTTTTATACATATTTGTATATTAGGGTGGGTAAAAGAAAACGATTTTTTTTTCGCTTGGTACTCTGAAAAATTGGTTCTTTAACATCTCTACTCAAATTTCTCCAAGTATGAGCTTTTTCGATGAAGTTAAGCGTTTACGAGTTATCCATCGTCAAAAACCAAATATTATAAAAATTATAATAAAAAAAAATTTTTTTGATAAAAAATATATGAGAACATTTTTGTAGAGCCGTAAATTTCCTACGAAACTGTGAGTTTTGCAATTTAAAATTAATATTTTTTCACTGAGTTATAAAATTCGTAAAAAAAATCAAACTTCAATCGTTTATAATTTTTAAACGGATAGATTTTGTAGAGCATTCAATTTCATACTATTTTTATTTCAATTAGTTGGAAGCGAGATTTGAGTTTTTCTATCTGATAATAGAAAAAATAATGGATAACTATAATGCGAAGGACTTTCCCGTTACAAATGAGAGCTCATACTTGGAGAGATCTTCGTAGAGGTGTCTAAGCGCCTATTTTTCAAAGTGCCAAACAAGAAAAAAATTAATTTTTTGACCCACCTTAATATAAATACAAATATATACAAAATCGTAGTTGAATTGAATTTAAAGTTGATTCGGCGAAAGTTTCGGTAATATGAACGTATTTAAAAGAATTGTTTTATTGAGCTCAATCGGCTCCGAAAACTTTAAACGAGTTTTTCTCGTAACACTGTTTTCAGGGTCGGTGAAGAAAATTCCTCTGAAACGGCTAAACTCGTTCATTTAAAATATTTATACGACCTTCTTAGATATATTTGTCAGATTCAAGAAATACGATTTTTGATAATTATTTTAAGTTTTTAGGCCACTCTGATGTGTAGATTTGAAAAAAAAATTACCAAAATTAAAATTTGACTAGTCCTTCGATCATACATACCTGTATTCCTCTATAGTAATAATACATTTTGTTTGGTATCTTGGATCTTAGTTAGTTCAAGTAGAAACATTTTCTTCACTGACAGAACTCCTGTCCAGATACCTCTTTTCGGAGGTCTTTTTGGAGATCGGCTGCAGGATCAAAAGAATCCAAAATTTTTCAAAATTAATCACCGATTATTATAGTACATTAAATTTTTTAATTGTGCATAATTTTTTTATTTATTAAATAAAAGTTCTGTTCAAAAAATATTTATAAAAAACAGATTTTTTCTGACTTGCAAGTGGATATAAGCCCTTGATATGAAGGTTATCCTAAAACTTCCAAAAAAAGACTGTACCTAGCCTATTCAAAGGCGACTTCTTTCCAAGACATAATCAGATTTTTAATTATTAATAACTAATAAAGACTGATGAGCATAGTAAAGCCATAGCTCCGTGCTCCTTATGTGTCTCATTTAAAATGGATTCACCATTATTGCCAGTAGGGAATGAGGTGACGTAAAACATATTTACCATAAACTTAAACTTATTCAAAGGTACAATTATTAAAAACTCGAGGTATTCACACTGAATCAGTAAGGCCATACTGACATTTAGTGTTTCCAGATTCAGTTCTTTTGATATTAAAAATATTTGATATAGATTATTCGAACATTTGGAAAATTCTCTAATCTCCTCACAAAATTTTTACTTAGAACATGCAATTTTAATATCTCTGACCCTTTAAATTGAGATCTAGCAATAATCTTTTATTCTACAGTATGCCTCGGTGGAGCATCCTCTCTGCGAATACCGTCATGTTCGATAACCTCTACATTATAATATGAATTTTAGACTATATTCACATTTGAGATAGTGATTTTTGTTTATTTTATTTTGACAAAGGACTTTGGTGGCTTGTAAGGATGTACGTTACATATATGTATGTTAATTCGAAAACTTCGTACGAATATACGTACGATGCGTAGATCTTTCAATATATATACTTGTAATTTTGATCAGTAACCCTAATGTTGACAGAAAATATATAAATAAAACAATGCTATTTATAGATGCCACATAAAAAGTATTCAGAGTAATCTAAAAAAACAACAGTCGCGCTAATTCATTGAATCACTGCTATAAAAATTTAATCATTACAAAAACAAAAGAAATTAAATCGAGTAAACCAAAAAGGAAAGATATGCGAGGACAAAGGTAGGAAAATTGTCGCCAAAACGCTCAGGCCGACATGAAGAGGAACACAGCTGATAAGCAAATTGACGGTAATCCGCCGCAACAAATATGAGTCATTCAGGTGCAGCTCTCAGGATGTATGGGTATTCACAACTACTCAACACACATAAATATTTATATATATACAAAATGCATTGGTGTATGTATGTGTAAGTAAGTAAACAGGTGAAGATGAATGCGCCGAGTATCGGTGGACGATAACTTGGCGGATGTACGTGTGGAAGGGTACGACAATTAAACCCTTGAGGTTTCTGTTACTTACTTAAAAGTACACTGAAACACGTACAAATAAGTGAAATAGTTTGCTGACACTTTGCCACACGCCACACAAATTAAGTGATTAAGTCTTCTTCTGCCTCTATATGGTTTATATTTATTTGTGTATTTATTCGGACCTCGATGAGTGATTCAATCTTGTCCACTTTTAATTACTCGCTGAAGGTGTCATTTTATAGCCTCATTTCTATTTTTGAACGAACGCTTAGCAAATGAGTATGTCTCTAATTTACGCTCATTATCTGGATCGATATGTATATTATAATATATACACATACATTTGCATGTATATGTTTATGTCTGGAGCAAAGCATCATCATCAACTAACTGGCTAAACATCTCGTTAACTCTACGAGCACTTCCAAACGATCGTTGCCGCCAACAAGTGAGCGTACGTTTAATGGCCTAACCGGTTGGCCATATTTTTCGATCATTTCGACGGTTTTACGATCTGCACTTTTATGACTATTAGATGTTTCAATTTAACCGACTTTGCAATCAAAATACTTATATACCATACATATACACACGATGTGTTTAGCATTTATATTTGTATATATATCTGTAAATGTTGCCAGTTTTTGTCTTTTGTTCAGGTCCACTTTTTCAAATCGAACACTTAATGATTTTATTGCGTTTATTTTACGATCACAATTTATTAAAGATTTGTTTGGAAATTTTTTTAAAAACTTTTTACGACTTTCATAAGTCACAATTGTTGCGACATAAAGTGTCGTTTAAATGTAGTAAACGATTGTCATTAGGAATATGATTTGCATTTACGAGCAAGAATATTGGATGAAATTGTGCTGCAAATGGTATGTATGCATGTGTTGCAAATTCGAATTTTTTCACTGTACAAGCAGCTAACAAGAAAAATGATAACACTGAAGTAATAATATCCTTTACAAGTGCTTTTCTTATAATAACTATAACTACAACTATGCGAAATTTTACCCTATAATAGTTCGTAAACGGTGGTTTCAATAAATGAGCAGCTTTTTGGGTAGAAAAGGACTAGTGCAAAGTTTCAGCTCGATATCCCAAAACCTGGGGGACTAGCTTGTGTACACACCTAGCTTGTCACGCTGATCATTTATATAGATACTATATAGGGTCTTTGACGTTCAGGGTATAACAAGTTATGAATTTGTATATATAGTATATGAGGGAAGTTATAACTGAAAACATTTATACGATTTTTGTATTTGAAAAATATATAACATTTTTGAAGCTCTAATAAGTAAACGTCTGTTGCGGCGATAACATCATCATGTGACTCCAACTTGTACCTACTTCTACCCTAATTTTTCAAGTTTGGAAACAAAAAAAGAGGCATAGTCTAATTTGGACAATTTGGTCATGGAAATGGCAATCTGAGCCGGTGTGTTGTCATGGTCGAAGAGCTTCGCCAATTTTGTTTTTTTTTTTGATAATTCGTCGTCAAATCGGTCCACTGACAATCTTCACCGAAGCCAGTTCAGGGTTACGACTTTTGTTTGTCGCGTTTAGATACACTGCTAGCAATGGTCCCACGGTGGCACTTGCCGTCGATAGTAAGCAAACGCGAGACCCACCGCCCTGACAACTTTCTCATATCCAATATTTCTTCTGTATATGACTCACGCGATCTTTTGAGATGTCTACTGCCCCTTACAATCGCCGGTATGTCAACGTAATCTTTGTGTTAGACGTATTCAAGCAACTTAGGGGTGGCTCAGCAAAAACCAAATCGCGACCGCAATGAAACTAGTTAAATCAACTTTTGACGGTGATCATCTAAAGAAAAGAATCACCGTATATAGCATATAAACATTTTTTAATATCAGTACGCGATTTCCCTTCCAAGAACAAGAATCGAATGGATATTGCATTTTTCCCTTTTGCTTAAATTCCACTTTTTTTACACGTGGTAAAAAAGAGCTTTGTCCGGAGAGAGATCCGGCTGAAGTTTTAACCATAATTGTCAGCGAGAATGTACTAACACGTTAATAAATTTCTCTTGCGATAATAGCGCTATTGACTGGCGAGGCAAACTCATTCTCGGACCGCCTCCT